TCAACTCCAGACCCTCACAATCCAACCTATCTAAGGCCTTCTTGGGCAATACATTCAGGGAAGAACCGGTGTCCACCAACACGTGTGAGAGAGTAGTGCCCCTGCATTCAATGGAGACATGCAGGGCATCATTGTGGTTCTTTCCCTTAGCGGTCAGATCAGCATCAGAGAAACCCAACCCATTGTCAGCGGTCAAGTTGGCCACACAATCAGTGAATTGATACGCAGATGTCTCTTGTGGCACATGGGCCGTCTTCAGAAATGAAATCAGGGCCTTGGCATGAGCCTCTGAGCATAGCAGTAATGATAGCATAGAGATCTTGGAGGGGGTATGCCCCAGTTGTTCAACGACGTTGAAATCGCTCTTCTTAATGATCTTAAGGATTTCCTCCATCTCTTGCTGGGAGGCTTCAACATTGACAGTCTTTGGTGCCTCCATCTGGGCAGGCACATTAGCAATCCCTTTGCCCCGAGTGTCAGATGACTCGGTAGCAGGGATAGAAACTTGATCAGAAGGGGAAACAGGCGCACTTGTAGGCGTAATGATAAGAGGTCTTCGGATAACTGGTGGCGCAATGTCAGGCGAGAAGAGCCTGCCACTGCGAGTAACTTTGGCGGGACCAGTGATGTTACTGATACTGGTACTAGTGTTGAACTCCTTATTCACTCCAAGTACATACACATCTGCCCCATAGTGCCATGGGACAGCCTTGTCAGATTCATAGGGGAGGGGCCCCGGAACAGTAATGATAATGGGTGCAACGGACATGATTTTGACTGGCTTCCTCGGGGGAGCCTTGGTAGGATTGTTGAAGATGGTGACAACAAATACTTCTTCAGTAGGAACAATAGGAACAGCGGTCTTCTTGAACAGGATTTCTTTGCTATCCATCAGGTTTTGACCGCCTGACTTCAGCAATGGACAACCAGCAGGGGCAACAGCACACAGAAGGCAACCCTTGCTACAACCCGGAAATAAACCGGCCAGCAGCAGGTTCCTCTTGACAGTCAGTAATGGGGTAGCAACATCATCCACAGAAACGGCATACAGGTCTTCCTCAATGGCATTTACTCCATGCTGGGGCATAGGAGCAGTCACAACGTTGGGCCTTTCAGGTGCCTCAAACTGTATTTCCTTCGCATCGATAAGGTCCTGAACCTTATTCCTTAGGGCCCAGCAATCATCAGTAGAATGCCCCGGGCTATCAGAATGATAGGCACAATGGGCATTTGGATTATACTTCGGAGAGGTCGTGTTCACCACCTTCGGAGCTTCTCTGACGGTTACCAAGTTGGCCGACAGCAGTTGCAGCAAGATCTGCGACAAGGTCATACTAAGCTGAGCATATTCTCTTCTGGGTCTCTCACCCCTTGGTTGGTTAGGTTGCCGAGGAGCGGCAGCAGGCTTTGCAATTACCATCGCGTTGACAGCTTGGCAGCGTTCCGGTTTGTTTTGCCTCCTAGGCCCATACACAGCATTGGCTTCCTTTTTGAAAGGCTTTTTCTCAGAACTTGAGGACGCACCTTTCTGTATCTTCCCTGATTTCATTCCAGCCTCTATCCTTTCCCCAGTCAGAATGAGATCTGTAAACCCTGCAGACGAATTGCCAATGAGATGATTGAAGAATGGCCCGGATAGGGTCCCCAAGAACATGTCTACAAGTTCACGATCGGTTAACGGTGGCTGCACCCTGCCAGCCAGGTCCCTCCACTTCTGCGCATACTCTTTAAAACCTTCTCCCGATCCTAGCGACATACCCTGGAGTTGGGCACGTGTAGGAGCGAGGTCGGCATTATACTGATACTGCTTATAAAAAGCAGTAGCCAATTCCTCCCAGTTACGAACCTTGGTTCCATCCAGCTGATAGAACCATTCGAGATGAGTCCCTGAAAGACTCTCCTGGAAGAAATGGATCCACAAGTTCTTGTCCACAGTGTACGGCTGGATCTTCCGCACATAAGATATGAGATGTAGTTTAGGGCAGGACGCCCCGTCATACTTTGTGAAAGATGGTGCTTTGAACTTGTGTGGGATGACCACACCAGAAGATAGACCCAGGTCTCCGAAATCCAACCCAGGCACTTGTTGAATTTCCATGGCATTCAGACGATCCTCTAACTGCTTGTACTTGTCTTCAGCTGGAGGATACTGCTCCTCATTGAAATCAGTCTCGTTGTCAGAGACCACCGGACTAGGAACCCTTCCCCCCTGGGGACTGCCTTTTCCTACAGAAGAACCAGCTTGATCAACCTCATTCTGCAGTGTGTTGCCAAACCTCTGGCCAGTGTTGAATAGTACCGTTCTCTTCTTCTTCTTCTTGACCAGCAGAGCCTTCAATTCCTCTTGACCTTGGGCTAAACTCATGATCAGCTCTTGGAATTGGGCATTCTGAGCCTGGAGGGCCTTGATGGACTGCTCAGTAGATGACTCAGGGTTCATGATGAGATTGCTGAAATAAACAGCGAAGAACATTAAGCAACCTGAAAAGAATAGTACCTGATATGCACATGATGCATGATATATGTTTATGCAATGCATTCAAGGGTTCGAAAGTTCAAATTTGTTGTAGACAAAAAGGAACACACGTTATCATTAGGGAATAATTGTTCAGTACATCAAGGCCTCATGGGAAAAATATTACAAAATAAATCAATCCCAAAAGACGTTGCGCATCCTCTTTGGAGCAATGTAGGTGTTGAGAGTCTTTTCCTCGTGCAGTAGGCGGGTGAGCTCCAAAACCTTCTTCTCACTAGAATGTAGACTGGACTCAAGAGAATTCCGTTCTTCCTTAAGCTGGATCCAGCTCTTCTGCATTTCTTCCCAGGATGTAGGCATGTCAGGATGTTGAATAGTGTAGGACACCTCTCCTTCCAAAACTGGCTCTTTGATCACAGGGAGAACATGGGGATATGGCATCACTAACTTCTGGGAGCGGGCTCGTACCCACTTGAGATAAGGCTCCAACGGGATGGAATTCCTATGCCCCAGTGTCTTGCTGTCTACCCTATTGGGCATCCTCCAAGCTCTGATAAATCTCTGGCGAAGTCCTTGTGTATCATTGTCGAAGTCAAAAACTATGTCAGGAATTAACATGTCATGAGGGCCATCCCTCTGAGCATATCCAAACTGTCTCCAGGCCAGACAGGGGTTGTAGATGATACCTCCTCTGATGCCAAGTAAAGGAACATTAGGGTACTCCCCGCAACGATCAATGATAGTGACATCCTCTCTGGACCGAGAGCACCAATGTATATCTGCATATGTAAGAGTCATCAACCGTTGCGACCAACTCAAACCCCGCTCGTTCTTCAAAACTGATTGTGGAAGGTGCGAAATAAACCACCTTCCCAGGAGAGGAGTGCAGCACATAAGAACACCTCTTTTTCTCATGGTTCGAGTGTAACATGAGTGAAGGATGTCCCCAAGCAACGTAGGTATAGGATTCCTGGACATGAAGATCTGGACAGCACTGATATCTATAAGCTGATCAAGATTTGGGAATAAAACCAATCCATAGACAAGGAGGGCCACAACTTCTTTAAAAGCTTGTAGGTCAAGGGAGTTTCAACATTCTTGGGCCTTTTCAAACAGAAACCTGGCCAAGAACCCTTTGATACCACTTCTAACTTCCCAATGTCCCTTGATGTCGGATGGTTATAGACGTAAGGCTTTAGCAATATCTTCAAGTTTGGGTTCCTTTTCCGTACCGTTGTAGGGTAGTTGACTAAGGATAGGGATCTTCAGAAGCCGGGAGAACTCTTCCAATGTAGGCACCAGTTGATAATCCAGGAAAGTAAAGCAGTGATGTAGAGGGTCAAAGAACTGGAAGAGGACCTTTATCATATCTTCCTCAATGTTGGTGTTGACCAAACTGGTGAGTCTTCCATGCCTCTCACTGAAAGAAGAGCTCTCAGGAATCCTGGATATAAGTTCCTTAAGCTGAGGAAGGATCCTTACAAGGCTGATCTGGATTGTCTTTCTGCGGATAGTTTCCATGTCCTACAAAACAAGAACAAAGATGAAGATTCGAACCCCTGAAATGGTTAGTCAATGCATATGATGCTGGATGATGTTATGATGCTATGATTAAAGACACCACAAGTATTCACAAAAAGCAAACATGGTAAGGCACACATGTCGCACCATAGCCCTTAGAGTTTAGGCCAGCATGGGGTCTGGGTATTACCCTCTTGAAGTTGGTGGGCTCAAAACCTGTCCTATCAGAAGTAACCGGGTTCTAAGGGTCTCAATATCATTGGATTGCTTTCATTGTTCATCGTTTCGATTTAGCCACTGAACTGGCGACCGAAATATTCTAAGAAAACAACCCTCAATTGAGTGTAGTATCGAGTATCAACCAACCTCGGACTGCACCAAAGTCAGTTATCTCACTACCCTAAAGAGGCCAAGATGGTTCAATTAAGGTTCCTAAGGTCAGTTGATGCTTCACGACACCACGCGGCGGCCCCGTACTCTCCTTGACTGGACTCAAGGGTTATCGGTACTCACCAAAGTGCCACATCAACGTAGCAGACTGCTTCAACCATGTCGGTATACCCCGCACAGTTCCCTCACAGTCTTGTTGCTACTTTCTAAGAAGGTATCCCCCAGATCCGGGTTACACTACAAGAAAATTAGTGTTTAACGACACAAAAATTGCGACAGTTATGTGATAACTGTCGTAATTGACATATAGAGACAGTTTTTACGACGGTTGACACCAACCGTCCCTAATATTTATTTTGCGACGGTATATTTAACCATCATAATATTATTATTACGACGGTAAAACAACCGTCGGCCCCCATTTAACACTTTTAACATTGATTTTTCACCAACAACTAGTCACGACGGTAAAATTAACCGTCCTAAAAGGCATATCATGACGGTAAAGCACCCGTCGCACCCTTAAACCTTTCACGACGGTAAAATTATCCGTCCTAAAATTCATTTCACGACGGTAAAACAACCGTCGCACCCAAAACCTTTAAAAATTCTCATGGGCACGACGGTAAAACACCCGTCGCAGTAAAAAAGTTAAAAATACCAAAAAAATACCAAAAAAAGTGAAGGGCCTTAGGAAAAGGTAGAACATCTCGGTCCACTAGAAGCAAGATCCATCTCCAACCTTTCTATTCCCAATCAACATTATCTCCTCATTTATACTTATGATAAGAGAATAACAGAAAAAATAAGATTTGGGATTTCATATGTCGTGTATGCCTTGGTTGCCAGAGGCACGGTGGTTCTGGCGGAGTTCAGTGCCGTCACCGGCAACACAGGCGCCGTCGCTCGTCGGTTACTCGAGAAGCTTCCTACCGAATCGGATTCCAGACTTTGCTTCTCTCAAGATAGATATATCTTCCACATACTCCGATCCGATGGCCTCGCGTACCTTTGTATGGCCAACGACACCTTCGGAAGTGAGTAGCTCGCCGTTCTTTTGTTTTCTTGATTTATTGTTTTTGACCTAATTGCTTTAATATCCAATTCTAATGTTTGTGCTGAAAAAATGATTATGGAAGGATCAGTATTCTTTCTAGAATGAAGATAGGGTTTACTTGGAGTGGTTTTGGTTAGTTTCTTTTGTTTAAACTTATAATGATTATATGATTGTTATATATTGAAAATGAACTGTGTTGGTGTGGTGAAATTGAAAAAAAAAGGTGTGATTGAAGTCTGCATCATTGTTTATGTGTTGTTAGTTAGTTCATCTATTAAGAGATTCAATTGTGTTGCGGAGAGGTGTTCTTCAGAGGTTTTTCCGGCTTCTGTTGAGTGTTTGGAACTGATCAGGCTTGATACTGCAAATTATGCAACCGCGTTAGAAGCAGAATCAAACAGAGGCTTCATTCAATTGGCATCTGAGGAACATGGTGTGGCACCGTGTCTGATGCTGTCATTGCTTTTGAATGACACTTTTCCGTAAGGTAAAAGAGAGAAGAACAAACCAGTGATGCTAACTTGATTAATGGACAATCATTGGAAGGCTTGCACTGATTGGGTTAACCCTAATGGAAAACCTAATCTCCAATTTTTCTCCACTCATTTTGGTTCCTCCAAAGTTCAGGTTGATAAATTGTTACTTCTAAGTTAATTTCCTTAAAATCAATATTTAACATTGGTTGTTGGATATAATTTGTTGGTGATTATTGGTGATTGTAATTTGTAGTTACACTCAAACTTTGTAAGATTGAGATTCCTTTAACTCGTTTGCACCATAATTGTGAAATGGTTCTTTGCGAAGATGGGACTGAAGCATTAGTCGAAGTTTGTATTGTAGATCACAATTTAGAGGTGATAATTTGTTCCAGTTCCTCCTTTTACTTGGTCACTCTCGTCAATCCCCTTCTTCCCTACCTGCTCTAAGATTGAGTTTTATGTAAGATTGATAATTTTAGAACTTTTCAGGTCAAATTACACGAACTTGTTAAACCGGAGAAAGCAATCAAAGATTACAGAACAGAGATTACTGGTGTCTCTTCTAAAGATCTAGAGACCGTGACTCGCTCCTTAGCTGATATACAAGTAATTTTGTGGTTCATTTTGTGGTTTTCCTGTATCGTCTTTTCAAATGCTTAATGAAGAAATCTGTTGTACTTTCGTAGAAATTGATGAAGAAGTGGTTATCCAGTGGAGCCATATTAGTGGGACACAGTTTGTATAATGATCTACGCGGTAAGTGTTGTGTACATTTTATTTATCTTTGTCCTTGAATGACCCACTTCTAGTTTCTGTGTATATGAAGGGCTGGAGTTCCGCTGCATCATTTTACTAATTGCAGTCATTTGCAGTGCTGAAGCTATATTATGATAGAGTGGTCGACACTGCATACATCTTCCAACCCATGGATGGAGCTACTCACAGGAGACCTTCTTTAAATAGTTTGTGTCAGGCAAGTAACAACTTATTTAAATGCAATGCAAGGACTATGATTTTGTATTAAACACCATCTATTTTATGAAGTATTATTAGTTGTGTCCATAGTTACTCCTTTGAAGGAATTTCCTCAAGACTTTGGTGTTTTAAATGAAGAATGTTTATGGTGCAATTTTGCTTGTCTATGCTTTGGATTTTAAAATATTATACTGGACAATCTCAATCACTTTATCATTCATTGTTGTACATTTGTAGTGCCTTTTCATAATTTACTTTGAAGTCTTCCCCTGTCAACCTAGATAATCCTCTTGTTGCATTAGAGTTATCATATGTTATGTTATACTACAGATGATGATTTACTAAGTAATTTCTTTTTCTAACTATTGCAGGAGTATCCTGATTACGTACCATACATCACTCCGATGTTCTTTTGTGATGATTGGCTCAACTTGTATCTCGATAACTTTAGAATGAATACTTATTCCGACAGAGACCAGCAAAATAAGGAAATATGTTGCTCTGACTATCGTTTTGTTTACATGGGAGTAAAAGGTGTGATTTTAGTTGGGAAGAAATCTTGAAATGACCATGAATCTCAGATGATTCTGCACTTTTCTATGCGAAGAGATGAGCAATCCAACAGTAACTTCTTACTTTCACTTCTTCTGGCAGGATCTTGGACTCCTCTACATGTTTGAGGTGAAAGAAGGAGAAGATGAGCGCTTCTAGGTTCATCAAGTGTGTTACTGTTGGGGATGGAGCTGTGGGTAAAACTTGTTTGCTAATTTCCTACACTAGCAATACCTTCCCCACTGATTATGTGCCAACTGTCTTCGACAATTTCAGTGCAAATGTGGTTGTGAATGGAAGCACTGTTAATCTGGGTTTGTGGGATACTGCAGGACAAGAGGATTATAACAGATTAAGACCTTTGAGTTATCGTGGTGCCGATGTTTTCATTTTGGATTTCTCCCTCATTAGCAAAGCCAGTTATGAAAATGTTTCCAAAAAGTGGATTCCAGAGTTGAAGCATTATGCACCTGGTGTTCCCATTATTCTGGTTGGCACTAAGCTTGATCTTCGGGATGACAAGCAGTTCTTTGTTGACCATCCTGGTGCTGTGCCCATTACCACTGCTCAGGGAGAAGAGCTTAGGAAGCTGATCAATGCACCTGCTTATATTGAATGCAGTTCTAAATCACAGCAGAATGTGAAAGCAGTCTTTGATGCAGCCATAAGAGTTGTCCTTCAACCACCAAAGCAAAAGAAAAAGAAGAGTAAAGCACAAAAGGCCTGTTCGATATTGTGATTTGCTAGGTCGGTCTAAAAATTTGACAACCATTTCTCCAATCTGTAATTCTCTCCTCTTCTTCGTTTTCTTCATTCCTACGCCGTTGAAGAAGTTGAAGTCTATGTGGGTGTTCGTTCGTCTAACATACTCTAGATCTCCTTGAAGCATTAAGGTGGTTGATGCTTTGTTTTTCTTGGAATTATTGTGAATTCTAATTGTCAAATTTGCATTTCATGGTTCCCACCTTTTTCTTAACTTAAGTTTTATGTATTAATAGACTGGAATTATCCCAGTTAGGATGATGACTACCTTGTTTGCTTGAAGATATATATAATATCTAAATTACATATATATAATATCTAAAGGTGTGATTTTAGTTGGGAAGAAATCTTGAAATGACCATGAATCTCAGATGATTCTGCACTTTTCTATGCGAAGAGATGAGCAATCCAACAGTAACTTCTTACTTTAACTTCTTACCATAATCAGTTTTGATGAAGTATGCGTGATGTTGATTATCGTTGTTGAGAAGCCGATTCGGACTTGTTGATGAAAATGATTTTGTGTAGAGAAGCAGTTAGAGAGTGAGTTTTGGAGAGATGAAGTTCTGAGAAGAGTTTCGGATGTGTGCAGAACGAATTGTTGAAGTTTTAGAAGTGAAATCGTTGAAGACTCATAGAAGATTTTTTGTAATTCTCTCAAGTTGTAGCAAACCAATGTAAATATTAAAATGAAATTTGGCCTTTGATGATATTTGAATTTTTCTTGTTTATTGGTAAAATTTGCACTTCTTTTTACCTTTGATCACATTTTTTTGATATTATTGATGATTATTTGATATTAAATGTTTTTATTGTAATTAACTTTATTATGTTGAAAAGTGATAGAAAATAAAATAAAAATACTATAAATAAAAAAATATTAAAGTAAATAATAATTTAAATATAATAGTAAAATATTATAGTAAAATAATATTATATTTAAAATTATTTTACTAAATAATAATTTAAATAAAAATATTATTTGAAATTTATAAATCAGATTACGACGGTTAAAACCGCCGCAATTTCTAACCTACGGCGGTAGAATAACCGTCGCAAACAACAACAAAAACAAAAAATAAATTCAAATTCACGACGGTATATAACCGTCGCTATCTGTTGTGCGTGACAGTTTTTGCAACCGTCGCGAAATAGGCTGGGGACGCACGATTCTGCGACGGTACTTCTACCGTCGTAGATTGTAAATTGCGACGGTTTTAACCGTCGTAATCAGCCAAAATAACCGTCCCAATCTATCATTTTTCTTGTAGTGTTAGGATCTATAGAACTCCCGAGACAGTACCCACAATAATAAAGCAAACAATTCAGACAATTGAAAACACAAGTGATCTTAGTCCTAAGGTACACCTCACTTTATAAGAGCTTATCCCCAGCAGAGTCGCCAGTTCTGTGATCGGTGGATTTAGAACTGACTGTTTTTTAAGCTGGTTCGCGAAGTGTCGCGGTAAGCAAGAGTCGCCACCGTCTTTTATTTTCTCCAACATGGACAGGACAAAAGCACAGCAAAATTCCTTATGAGATTGTCTCTCGGTTCGGGAGGTAGATTTATAGAAAGGGAAGGTGTTAGCACCCTTTCTATCCATGGTTATCCATGGGCTCTTAGATACTTGCTCACTATGTTTTCAAAATGTTCGCTTTTCAATTGTGAGTGGGTTTGAAAAAGTTTCGTTTAAAGATTTCTGAATAACTCTTGTATCAGTCCTCAAGAGTGTTTGAAAAATTGTTTTGAAAGCTTTTTGAAAGTGTCAGTGTGAAAAAAGTTTTGATTTGTTTTTGAATAGAGCAAGTATCTATGAGTCATCTACCTACCCTAAGGAATTAAGCTGTGTAAATGTCCTTAAGCTAGTGTTATCCCACCATTGAGAGGTAGGTAGCACCACCGTTGGAGGTGTTCGGGTCAATTCGAGTTTAGGGACAGTGTGGTCACCGAAGCAACAGTTAGACACCTTAGAAGCTACCCTTATGTCCTTGATCCTTTTTTAATCCGAGGCAACCGTTTCGAGGCAACTATTCCGAGGCAACTGGATCATGGACATAAGGACTTACTAAAACGTCCTATACTTGACGACCACGTTTCGAAGGCAACAGGTGAGGCGTACCCTAGAAGTGGTGTGTGTATTTGTGTGTTGTTTTCATTTTAAGTTTATCTTTGATCAGGGCATTGTGAGCTACGCTTGTTTTTAATTAGCCATACATTCTTTCATGCAATTTAGAATTCAAGAGTGCGGAAAGTAAAAGACGGAAAAATAAAGCTACACTATTACAAGGCGCGGGTCTATACATCGCCAAAATACAAAGACCGGTTTGATAAAAATGCGGAAAGTAAAAAGAAGCGATAAACCTAATTACTATTACATCCTTGAGCAGTTACATAATATTCGAAAAGAAGAAAGAATAACGTGCGAAAGAATAAAAGTTAGGACGTCCGAGGGTTTTGACCCTTTTGAAATTAAATTGAAATTAAAGTCTAATTATTATTTAATTAAAGAAAAGAAATTGTTTTTTATGTTTTTGTATTTATGAAAATAAAGAAAATTAAAATTAAATAGAAACCCTAATTCTAGATTATTTTTAGTTATTAAAGAAAATATTCAAGTTAACCTAATTTACGCTAATTAATTAATTTACATGTTTATTTACAAAAATAAATAGTAATTAATAATAATAATAATGAGAGAAAATTATTTCTTTAAGAAAAAGATGAAAATGTCAAAAACCCTACTTCTACCTATTTTATTTATTAAGAAAAGATTAAAGTTTAAAACCTAAATTAAACTAAATTAATGGTTAGAGTTTATTTACAAAAAAACATTTTAATGGTGAAATTAAATATAATTAAATATAAAACATTTTTTGGTTTCTGATTTTTATATTATGAAAATTATTTTCAAAAAAACAATTAAAACAATTTAAAAAGAATTAGAATTGAAAAGAAAATAAAATTAAAAAAAGAGGCAAACCAAGGGGGTATCAGGCCCAGATGGAGGTTTGTTTGAAGCAAATTTGGCCCATGAACACAAAGCCTGTTTGACCTTTCCAGCTTGAGTGCGCGTGGTTGACTGGGGTACACCCTGGAATTCGTTCAGTGGCCCTTGGATCAATCATCATGTCCACTTGGCAGGCCTAAGCATGGGCGTGTATGGTAAGCCTTTGGTTGAACGCTGCATAGGAACATGTTATAACAAAAATCATGGATTAAATGGGGGGCCTGGGAATCGAACCCAGGTCCCAACGCTTAAGGGACACGTTGCCAGCCAACTGAGCTATTGCGTTTCTTTGTATACATAATGGATAGACAATATAATATATACAAAACAATGGTTAGTAGTATAAGACAAAAAGTTACGCGCCAGATTTGAATCTCCCAATAGCATCAGGCCACGTCCATCTTCTTCCTTGTTTTCCCTGCAATTACAAAACAAGTAGCGGGGGTTTTAAACCCCCACAAACTGCAACCTGTAAAAATAGCGATTACGCCCATGGGTTATATAAATTAGGCGCGAGTATCTCAAACGATTCATCTTGTTGCCACGAGTATGTCCATACAGGTTTGGTGGTCTAATTTTACCATATATGAGAACCCCCAATTTTGAAGTTCTGAAACCCTAGGTTTCATCAATGGTGGATTTTGATACCAGCATTTTTAGAACAATTAAACGTTACCAAAAGCTTCAGAAGATCATTAGTAGCATAAATCAATAATCAAAATATAAC